TATTTTAAAAAAAAAGAGTTGAAAATTAAGACATTTATCTATGCATGGTTTGGATTATATGTCCTGGTTTTTTATTTTTTAACATTTTATTGTCTTTAGAGAAAATATTTTTATAAAAATATTTTAAAATAGATGGTTTGGGTTATATGTCCTGGTTTTTTTATTTTTTAACATTTTATTGTCTTTAGAGAAAATATTTTTATAGAAATATTTTAAAATAGGTCTATTTGTCAAGTAAAAGATTAGAAATATAATAAAATAATAGAAAAATGTTTTGAAGCCTTGATGTCTGGTCCTTTTCTTTTTTTTTGGGTACATTCTGGTCCTTTTCTATTTAGCTATTGTGCTTTTTTATTTTTATTAACTGAAATATTTTTTTTTTTTAATTTTGCAAGAAGATAGTAAAAAAAAAAAAAGAAAAAAAAAAGGAAATAAATAGTAGGTTAATTAACTGTAAAACCTTTCCAAAATAAAACACGAAAGTACTTAATAAATCATTCCCCGATTTTCATTTTCTAGAAAAAAAAAACTAATAAATTTTCTCACCGACTCTGCGCTCGTGCGTGAGGCTCGTCATCGCCGCCGCCGCCGCCGCCGCTACCGCCACCATCAGCGACATGCCGAGCACTAGCAGCCGCCACGAACTGTCCGAGCTTCTTGCGGGATTGGCCTCCAACGATTGGGAGGTGAAGCTCGGGGCTCTCCGACATATGAAAAACAAGATCATAGGGAAGAAAGACAAGAAGCTCGATTTCGTCGAACTCGGCGCAGTTGCGGCGGTCGCCAAGACACTCTCAGACGCACTTAATGTAAACGGAGAAGGCAATCCTGATAATATCAAGAACAACATTATCATCCAGTCAGCCACGGTTCTGGGCAGCTTCGCTTGCGGTTTCGACGCCGGAGCCCAGGCCGTGATCAACGCGGGCGCCTTTTTCAATCTGGCGCGGCTTCTCTCGATTCAAGATGCGAAGGTGACTCTGTGCTTTTCAGTTTTGAGGGATTTGGTAGAATTTGAGGATTGAAATGTGAATTTATGGTAAATTATACTCGTTGCATTCACAATTCAAGCCATTTTCTTTGGTTTATGATAAATTTCTGGAAAAGAACGAGGGATTATAGTTCGAATGTTAGATTTCAAGCCATTTTGTTTTTCTTTCAGTTGATTGGGTTTCTTTTTATCCAAAGATTAGTTCCTTGGTATAATAGGTGAAATTGAACATGCATGATAATTAAAATACTAGATTTCATGCCATTATGTTTTTCTGTCTGTTAAATGAGTTTCTTTTTATCTAAAGATCGGTTCATTGGTTTAAAAGATCTGGTATTGTCATGCTGTCTGTTTGATTATGAAGCTAATCTGGGAACAGAGAAAAAGGGAATGTATTAGTTTTGGTTTTCAGTTGTGAAGTATGATTTATCTACTTAAGCCCGATATATTTTTGTGCTATTACTTACACCCCCAGTATAGGACATAGGCAGAATTATTGAATTTTATTAGCATGGCATATCTTCTACTTGTTATTAATGACTGTCTTTATTGTATTTTATTTTGGTTCTATAGGTCGTTGATGCTGGTGCCCGTTCCCTTAGGATGGTTTATCAATCAAAACTGGCTCCCAAGTATAATTTCCTTCAAGATGAAAATATGAAGAGGCTTATTTCCTTATTGAGTAATGAGAATGAAAATGTTAGTGGACTTGGTGCAAGCATTATTACTCATTCTTGTAAAACAACTGCAGAGCAGGTGGCACTGTGTGATGCTGGCATTTTAGAGAAGCTTACTTCTCTCCTTGAAGGATCTATAAGTCAGAGGGATGCTAGTTTAGAGTCTTTAGCAACAATTCTCAAGAACAATACTGAAGTTGTTTTGAAATTTGTTGAAAATGAAAATGGGAGATCCTTGGATTCTGTTATTGAATTAGCAAAGAATAAGTATCCTCGAACAAGGTTGCTGGCTTGCATATGCTTGATTGTTATAAGGAATACCTGTCCATCTTTCTTGCAAGATATAGGGATCAAGGCTAAATTAGTGCGTACATTACTTGAACTTCTTGAAGACCCTTGTGTTGGGGATGAAGCTCCATTTGCTTTTTCTAGTTTAATTGCCCAAAAGGAAGAACTTCAGAGACTTGCTCTTGAGGCCAGTGCAATTGAGAAACTTTATTGTCAATTACAGAAAGACCCATTGCGTCCCAAATATATTGAGGGAATATTGCTGGCACTTGCTGATATGTGCTCAATGTTGGAGAGTTGCAGGGATTCATTCCTCAAATTGGAGGTCTGTTGTGTTGTTTCATTATCTTAATGATTTAATATGGATACTTAATAATTTCTTGCTTCATTACTGTGCTTTGATTGTTTTATAATCAGAAAGAAACAAAAAAATAAATCCCTCATTGCAATGAGACCACTTGCAAACTCTTCAGCAATATTTAACCCTATGCAGATGCCATAGCTTCTAAGTTATTAAAAGATACAGTCTTCATTTGAAATAGATTTGATGTTTCTTTTCTTTAGTATACTATCTGATTTATTTATTTTCTTTCTGTTTTAACTAATCTGGACCAAGACAAGATGTGAAGAAATTAAGGAGGAAGTGGCCTTTTGCTTTTCTATTCCAAAGAGTTGTATTAATGTTCACTATCCCCATATTCCTTCAAAATTAAAGGAATAAGTCTCTAGCTACTTGTTGAAGTATACAGCACAATTATTGAACATTCCTATGCACAAATATGGCCACTTAGAGTTTCTAATTTTTTTCCTATGATTGTACTCATAGGTATTGGATTTGGTAACCAAAGCACTAAGTCATGATAGTGATGATGTGTGCATTGCTGCTTGTATTTGCATAAGAAGCGTCAGCCGTTCAGTCAAGGTTTGTAAAGTTTTATGGGATTTAACATTGTTCTTTAATTGCATCTTTTATTGCTGATAGATTGCCATTCAGAATTTGTGTGCAGGCCATTTTATGAAGGACACAATTGTTACTCCTCTGGTTAAGCTTTTTATCAAGTCTTCTACTGCTGTCCAGGTATACATCTACTACTTGGTTTTCCTTTGGATATTTTTTTTAAGTTGTCTTTGAATCCTAATAAATCTGGGATTGTATTGTCACTGGTTGATATGTATGTAAGGTGTGAACAGATAAATGAATTGCCTTCCTTGTTTTTCATTTCTTTTAGTTTTCTTTGTCCTCTTCAGGGAGCCTGGCAGACTTTTACTTTCCCTTGCTTCCCCATACTGTTAGCATTTGGACTTTTGAGTCCTCAAAACATATAGAGCTCACAAAAATCAAACTCTTACACCAGCTGATTAATTGGACACTATACAATTAAGCTGTGTTTTGTCAATCTATTTTAGAAAAAAGCTTTTTTTGTGGGTTCTAGCAAGATTTTATCAAGCTATCACTCTGTTTTTTTCTTTTTTTATTTGTTCCAGTTTATCTTTTTGGTTTAGCTGGTTATCTCTCAAACTTATGTCTAAAGTTGGTGTCTGCAAGCCCTCAAAGTAAACATGAGTATTTGTAGTTAACAAAATCCTTGTACAGCACACCACATTATATCTCCTAGGCAGATTGGTCCCTGGAGAAGTTGATGATTCTGGGGTGCATTCTAGATATGGTTAATTTCTCCTTTTTACACCATTCTATAGTATATTTATTTCAAGTTGTGGAACTGAAGTGTTGGTAACATTTAGTGGTCATGACTTATAACCATGGCTAACTTGTAACTTCTATCATTGGATCATGACCATTCTAGAGCTTTCCTGTGGTGATTAGCATGTCCTGGCTGCAGAATCATTGTATAACAAAATTTAAAATTTTTTGGTGACCTAGTAATAACCGTGGATTTAACTATCTTGTATTTCTGGTCATGCCTCTGTTGTTTGGGTTGTAGTGCAAGGGCCTGCAAAAGGCTAGGGCTTTTTAACCTTCCATATGAAAACTGCTCTTATGGTCTTGTAAGATTACTGCTAACATTAATCTCCAGGAATAAGTGATAAAAAGATCTTCGGGTGGTAAGTTATATGCTCTTGCGATATGTTATAATTGCTATCAGATTCTCAGTGCTTTTGAATTTAGTAGTTCTCACAATCTGGTGAATGCCTTTCTTTACAGGTAGCAGCTCTTGGTGCTATTAGCAACATAGTAGTTGATTTTACCACGCGTAAGTCTGCTTTTATACAATGTGGAGGGCTGAAAGAGCTGGTTCAGTTATCAGAGTCGATGGATGGATCTGTCAGGTCAAATGCTTTATGGGCTTTAAGGAACTTAATATTCCTAGCAGACAATAAGTTGAAAGAAGATGTTTTCATCGAGCTTAAAGCACCTTTATTAGCTAGCCTTATCTCTGGTAATGAGAAATATTTCTACACTCAACCCTTCAGCTACCATGAAAATGCTAATTCAAATGAAGAACTGCTTAATGTGCATTTACATTGCAGATCCAGAGCCTTTTGTTCAAGAACAAGCTATGGCCTTTGTTCGTAATCTTGTTGATGGATGTATAGACTCTATTGAGTATGCCTTCACTGATGACAGTCTCATATTGAAGGCTATTGGAAAACAGTTACAGAGCACTGCAAAAGTTGAAATTAGGATACAGGTTAGAATTTTTTTTCCCTCTCTAGTGGGAAGCTTTTGAAGCTATTCTTGGAGTTAAATGATTACATAGGTTGATGGGTTGAAGTCCCATGGTAACATAATAGTGTCTTAATCTATAGCATACCATTTCTGTTGCAAATTATGCCCTTCAGTCCTCTACATTAAAGAAGCCTATGATCTTGCTACTTTATATTAAAGGGCAACCTGAAAAGCCTTTTTAGAACAACATATTATTGGTTTATTTATTAGCAAATGATTTATAGATCATATTTTTAAAACTTGTCTACTTTCACATATATTTTGCAGTTATTGTAGGGCTATCAATTGTAATTTTTTATTAATGTCTAACATGAATTATAAGAGTTTCTACTAGTCTTCCTCAAGTATGGGGTTAATTTAGCTGAACAAATTAATGATACTTGTGAAATAATAACATTCCTGTTCTTTAACAGAACATTGGTGTTTTACGAATTCCTCACATCTTGTCTCTGGCATTTTTTCAGGATTTCATTTAGTTTCTGTATTTACTCCTTTTTCTTGTTATGTCAACATATACACTGTTACAAGGATTTGGAATACAATTTAAGTGACAAGACTCACAATGTTTAATAAAGCTACTTAATCATTGTTACCTTGTTAACTGTTTGAATTTCTTGTCATGTAGGGAATGTATGTTCTCAGCAATGTGGCCGCTGGAAAAGATTCTCACAAGGAAGCAGTAATGAATCAACTACTTCCTCAAGCAGTTTCTATCAGGGATCAATATTTTGTGATTAGGTTTTTGCAGAGTAGTGATAGCCAGTTGCGCACAGCCACTGTCTGGGCCTTGTTGAATGTTACACATCCAAGGTCAGATCCTGGGGCATTTGGTCGCTATATAAAACTGCAAGAAGTTGGCATCATAACTCAAATAAAGAATATGATCAATGATCCCTGCCTGGAAGTAAAGGTCATTCCTTTATCTCTGACTGTTTGTCATTTGTTTCAGTCATTTTCTGAACCTATTAGTAATCAGGTTATTTATGCAATACAGCTTCGAGTAAGGACAATACTTGAAAAGTATGCAAGTTTTGGAGGCAGCTTATTGTAATCATTTTTAGTCATTCCTAACACAAAGCATGGAGATCTCGAGGATCATTTTTCGCTGGTCTTACCATTTCTGTATGATATGTTTATACATTCTGCAGAGGCTTGCAACAAAAAAGGTATGCTGTAGTTAATATGGTAGCAGCTTTATAAAATTCATAGGATTGGAAGGCTGGAACCTATCAAATGCTTTAGAATTCAAAATGGAATTCTTGCATAATTCAATTTTCTTTTGAAAGTGCTCGTAATAAAATTACAAGTACTTTTCAGCCAAAAAAAAAATTACGGGTGTTCTGTAACGTCCAGCTCCAATTGGTAAGATGAAGAGCTGTACTACTCCCTGCTAGAGAAGCACTATCACTTCCCTGGCTGACATTTGAGATTGTCCCCAGATCATTTAGTTCAATAATATCAACTTATTGGCTTTACATATTCTAATGCGTGGCTTTGAATGAAGCTATTGCTGATCTACCGAATCTCATAATGCGTTTCTTTTGCAGGTTCAATACACTGGTTTCATTTTTTGCGAGTCAGAGCAGTGTGCGAACTTCATTTTGTTGTTTACCAGATTGCCTGCAAAAATTTCATTCCAATGGTACATACCTTGATTCTTTGTATCAAATATCAAATGATCTATTGTAGTAATACGTATTGCAATAGTATTCCTTCTAATCTGTAGATACAGCCTCTCAAATAGTGCACCGACTGCAGTTAATGAAAAATTTTGTCACTTTTACCCATTAACGTTTCATCAACTTCTCATCCTAGACGCTCCTATCATGCATATTTTTGCACTTGTTGCTGTCTAGAAGTTGGATTTATTATATTCTGGATTTGAATGTTGACAAGACTGTCTATTTGATGCCTGGAATTCCTTAAGTCTTACCGGCAGCAATACGGAAAGGAGTAAGATTGACAAATTAGTTTAACACAGGTTAAAACCACATTCAATCAGGCAAATCCTAGGCTTCATTTCCTTCTTTTTGAACTATATATGAAACGACAGAGAATTACAATTTAAGGTATACGGTATCAGGCAATTGTTATTGCGTGAGAAAAAAATTTATATTAGCTACATTTTTTGGGACCAAATTTGAAGGTTACACCTAGTACCTAGACTAATAAAAGAAGAAACCAAGGGGAGGATTAAAAAAGAGCAGGAAAGAATTCAGAATGGTGTTGAATCTGCCCTAGCCGATCTTCTCTGTGTTTGTGTCATCAGAAGGCCATATAACAGTCTCCATGAGCCGTTCGCGCATCAATTCCAGGTTCTCATCTGAGATCTCTTGATATATTTCGGCATGGTTGCATTTCTATAACAAAACAATCAACAAAGCATAAGTATTAGATGTTAGAAAAGATGGTTCAAGTTACATTAAAAAGATGGCTTCCCATTACCTTAACCCATTTTCCATAAAGATGAAGACGAGTCACCATTACTCTCTCTGCCAGATCTTGCTTCTCCTGCCAATTACAAGAAGGATGAATACACATATTTGTCTTTCATTTGTTTTTGGGTATTTACATCATTATCACAATTCCTTCCTAGCTACCATCTAAAGGCTTTAAATTTTACATACTAAGCTTGTAGCATGGTTGCATACTAATTGAGTAAAAAGAAAATCTTAAAGCTACCAAGCATGCCTCAACTAAGGAAGATATAACCGTCTAGAGAAAACTACCTTTGCAAGGATGCGGATGAAATGCTTCCCATCTCCCCCGGGCTTGTTCACCACAACAAATCTGTCAAAGTGATGAGCAAAGCACAGCTTAAATCCAACATAAAGACAGCTTTTTCTTTGTGAGAAATTATCAATTCCAAATTCTCAACTTCAACATCACTCAATCCCCTTATTTTGAAGATTATTGCACACTTATCCTTATAATCATATATGGCTAGGGTTGTCAATATGCATATTACAATTCATGAAAATGTCGTTTCAATTGTAGAGTTAGACCAAAGACAACACATAGAAGATTTGTCTAGACTAAAACCAAAATCCCACTTACTCATAGAACCACCTATATTGTGGAGGATTCATTTCATAGAGCTGAGTAAGAACAGTCCTCACTGCTTTATATGTGAAATAGTTCAGTATTTGCTGCAATAAGAAACACCAAACTCAATATAGATATATTTACCTTCTTCATGCTTACTTATGACAAATAAGAAAAATAAATCAGTACTTTGAACTTTTCTTACCGTTTTAACATCCGAAAAGCTGTCTTCATATTGTCCTCCTAACTCATTTACAACAACAAATTTTCGATCTTTTTTCTGCTTCCTTGAATTCCTACTGGAAATATTGGTAATTTTTGAGGACAACCTCTTATCATGCCAGGAAACCATCCCTCCAAGACTGGGCATATGCTTTCTCTTCATTGAATTTCTCTGCGAAACCATCTCCCCGCCGCACTTGAGGCTCAAGGTGGTTGTCGGCAGCGAATCCAAACACAACCATGGACCGGTATGCGAGTCCATGACTGATGTACCCACTACAGACAAAGCCCCCACCATTTCTCGTCCAAACAGAGCTCAACAAAATCAGAGGAACTTCAAGAACACAAAATACCCAGATCAAGATTGTACCTTTACTTGGTTTTTCAAGATCCAAACCAAGAAAAACAAATACCCACTAATAGCAATCAAGTGGGATCCAAGGGAATCTGGAGAAAGGGAGAAACGAAAGGGAAAAAGTGAGAAACGAGGCAGGATTTTGAAGGAGAAAGAGAACCTTGACCAGACAGTTTTATGAGGTCCAAAATTCTCCAACCCACAGATGGGTTTTGTTTAGTTTTTCAATTTTTGAGGCTTCCTTCCTTGCAAGACACAAAATCAAAGTTAGGTTGCTGACTGTTGCTGGGTCTTTGCCACTTGTGAGGATCTACTTGCGTGCGCACTGAATCTTTTTTACATTAAACGTTTTAAATTGCTGTTGCTTGTACCGACATCAAGTCAGGCTCACTTGCAACTCAACTGTTGAATTTCACACACACTCATAAAACAAAAGAAAATTCCTAGAGTTTGAGGTATACGCTCTTGAAGATGAGTGGGGATTTTGCTTTAGAATCCTGCAATTCCTATGATTCTCCTAGACATACGGCGTCTAATACGTATAGAATTTGGACTAAGAAGTCGGGCTGGGTTCGAAACTCGATTCACAATTCCATGGAAGCCCAATCGTCAGCCCAATTTTGAGAAGAAAGATTTAATTTTTTTTCTTTTTCCAAAAAAGTCAGCATTTTTTATTCTCTTCCCCTAACTCCGATTCAGAACGCCACAACCGCGGCAGCAGAGTTTGCGGTTGCAGCCTTCTTCCGATACAGACAGCTTCGAGTGTGGAGGCACAGAATCTGTCAAAGTTCGGAGCTTGGATTTGGGAATTGAAGAGAGAATGTTCTACAGAGGGTAATAGACTATGCCCTTGATTTGTCTTTAATTTTTTTGGTTTTTCCTCCCCTCTATGATCCGTAGTTGAATCTTCTTCTTTTTCTTTTTTTTTTTCTTTAGTTTTTGCTGAATTACAACAATATTTTATCTGGGCTTTATGAATTGCTTCCTTGGTACCTTTAAATTAAGTTCTTTGATTACTTATTAGTTTAAAAAACCCCAAAGGCAAGTTTGTTTCTTTCCTTCCTTGGGGTTGTGGGGTTGTTCTATATTAAGTTTAAAGGAATGTTAGAAGCTAAAATTTTTAACTGGTTGCTGATATGCAAGATGTCGTTATGATAATTCTATTGTGTTTGAGGCATGTTGATACGGCATTGATGGAATAAGAAATGAAAGTATCACCTTATTTGGTAAATCAGAGGCATACATTCAGCTTGACTTTCTGAAAAACCATATTACCGTCTCCTTACTAGGGTTTTAGCTTTAAATATTCTAGAAAGCAAGCAAACCATTGTTATGCTGTATTTTTACCAAAGGTGGAATGCTCTACTTTTGTTGGATATGTGTATAGTATCTCTCTTTCAAGAAGGAGCTGAAAACAGTCTCGAAGATGATATATTTAATCCCCATAAGTCGAAGTTTGAACTGGGTGAATGTGAGGTAATCTTGTATTGGGTAGTCATTCTCAGAAAATCTGCAGTTGTTTGAGTTAAATATATGAGTGTATGGATTGTAGGATTCATAGTACTGTTACTTGAGTGTTTCTTAGAAAGTTTAAGGATCTCTCAAGGTTATATTTCCCTATTATATGAAAATTGGCTAGCATTGTTCAAGGTTAAAATTTAACTTATTTGGAGCACTACTGTGATTAAAACAACAGAATTGAAATGAAACATGTGAATGACGTGCCTTGTAATTACAGAAAAAATGCATTTTAAATCAGATTATGTGAATGCAATGTACATTTATTATACATATAAATATAGGTACTTCTGCATTTTTTTGATTTTTCATTTTTCCTGTGAAATTTTCAAAACATGAGTTAATTGGATAAGTAGAAGAGTCCTTTGTTCACCCTACTTTTTAAGTTTCATGTAATTTTACTAATTTTTAAGTAACACATAATTGCAATGCCTTTTGATCAAGTTGTATCTTGCATGTGCAATACGATCTGGTATGTAATTCAGACATTGGATACTGACTAGCTGTCTTGTTTGTTTCTCAAACGACTTTCCAACCTAAAGTAAATTTGCTGATGGAGCTGATGGGCGTGAAATGGGTGCAAAGCGTCAGCGGGTGATTGATCAGGGCCCTTCATTCTATGGAACCTCCCCAGGTTCAAGTTTTATGTACAATGCCCCACCTCCTGCTTACACGTATGTTAACCAACCTCCACCTTTCCCTGTTGTACGGCTTCGTGGTCTTCCCTTTGATTGTGCCGAAGCTGATGTTGCTGAGTTCTTCCATGGCTTGGACATAGTTGATGTACTTTTTGTCCATAGGAATGGAAAGTTCACTGGTGAAGCATTTTGCGTATTGGCTTACCCTCTTCAAGTTGATTTTGCCCTTCAAAAGAATAGGCAAAATATTGGTAGGAGATATGTAGAGGTTTTCCGAAGCAAGAGGCAGGAATATTACAAGGCAATAGCAAATGAAGTCTCAGAATCTCGTAGTGGTTCCCCTCGCAGGAGTGTCCCAAGAGCCAAATCATATGAGGAGGGGAAGGAGTCGGCTGAACATACTGGAATATTGAGATTGAGGGGGTTGCCATATTCGGCTGGCAAGGATGATATAATGGAGTTCTTTAAAGATTTTGTGTTAGCAGAAGAGGCAATTCATGTAATAATGAATTCAGAGGGTAGGCCAAG